TCTCTGAAAAGTCGGGTTTTGGGGAATTCTCAGTAGTATCCTCCAGATTTTCCAGTACTAGGTAAATGGAAACTACCCATGATGTAAGTTGTTTGTTATGTAACAACTTTGATATTGCAGAGATAGGCTCTTGAGAAAAGATTACATGAGTGTTAAGGTATTTGTGATTAATATATAGATTTTGTTTTCTATAGTCACTGGCATGAGATTAAGTATAATTTAAAAATTTTTTATTGATTTTAGAGAAGAAGGGAGAGGGAGAGATAGAAACATCAATGGTGACAGAGAATCATTGATCAGCTGCCTCCTCCTGCATGCCCCCCACTGGGGATCAAGCCCTCAATCTGGGCATGTGTGCTGACCAGGAATCGAACCGTGACCTCCTGGTTTATAGTTCGATGTTCAACCACTGAGCCACACCAGCCAGGCAAATTAAGTATAATTTTTTAATAAAATGAGACAAATTAATTTTTCTGGCTTGCACTACGAGGCCCTACTTTTAAAAGATATGTTATCAATAGATACGTGTATCCAAAGGGGAAAACATAATTTTATTGCAGGTTATTCAGCATTTTATATGACTCAGGGTCCCTGAGGTTATTTTAAACTTGCCCCTGAAATTAAGCATTCTTTCATTAAACTAGATGAAATTTTCTCCTGAATTTTTATTATAATGAAAATACATGCATTAGTCAGGATAGGCTAACTTATGTTTCAGTAGCAGGTTAACCCTAAAATCTAGTGGCTTATACTTTCATGTGAGCAGGTAGCTCTGTCCTGCTCCAGTATCTCTCCATTGTTGCCCTGTCAGGGGAAGAAAACACCTAAAGAACATGCACCCATTTTGCTTTGCTTTGCCCAGAGTGACACCATTCGTTCTGTCCATAGCCCCTTGACTAGAACTAGTCACGTGGACTGTAGGAGACGGGAAACGTGAAGAGCACACGGATATTCAGTGAATGATAAACATCTCTGCCACAGCCCCCAAACCTCTAAAGCAGTAAGATGCTCTCAATCACATTCCAGTACTTTTATCCCCTTTCCCTCGCCCCAGGACAGTCAGTAGAGGAAGGAACATAGACAATAGGGTAAGGCTGTCCTGGGTTTGAATTCCACTTGCCCCTCATAGTAGTTGTGTGAGTTTGAGCAAGTTCTTCTGTTTCTCTCCTCCTCAATTTCGTCATCTATGAAATGGGGTTCCAACACCTACCTTGTAAGGTTGTTGCAACAAGAAGAAATTATCTACGCAATCCCTTTGTTGATTATTATCAGCAGAAGGACAAGGAAATATTTAGGGCAGTAATTCTCAGCTCTTAATTCTTCAACACTTCAGGTATTTCAAATTAGCTCAAGGAGTGTTGTAACATTTCAAAACGCTCTTCAACTAGGATTATTTAAAATTCCTCTTTACTTACTAAAACTGCCGGAAGCTGGTCCATCCTTGCTGCTTGACACAGTCACTGCAGGGAAGAAACATCTGCACAGCATATGTTTCAAGGGACCTGGCATATATGGCATACTGTTCTTAATATGTTTGCTCCCCTTCTTAGCGCTATGTGTTTTAACCAAGGTCACCTCTCCGAGAAAGGTTGTTTCCCCAGGTAGGGATTTTTCCCTGAAGTTAGGGAGGGAATAAAACCCCTTAACTAAGTGCCAGGCGGGGAGTTAATCATTTTAACTACGGACAATCACGCTTAAGCTACATAATCTTTACTCCCGGGAATGGAGATAAGAAACGCCCTAACCTTTGGAATAGAAATTGATAGGATTAAAATCAACTGGTATAAATACAGATGTAACCAGACAATAAAACACAGAACTTGACTGGAGATCCTGGCTAGAGATCCTGGCTAGGCTGCTGATCAACTGAACGCTGTCTCCGTGTCATTCCTTCTTTGCCGACTCCGTCCACACCTTTGGGGACCCCTGGACCTGCTGGAGTTGGACCCCAGCATAAAACAAATCTCTGCAGGTCACTAGAAGTAGGATTAGTGCTGACATCACTCTGGGCAAATTATGAGAGAGGGGAAACTTGTCTTTATTATTCAACTTTTGCCCCTTCTGTGATATCTTCTCACCTACTCCAGCCCTCAGGCTTTGGATTAGCCTGGTGTGAATCCCAGTTTAGTCACTCTCCATTAATTAGTTAAGCATTCTGAGACCAAGTATTCTCTTCGCCAAAGTTGGGACAGTCAAGACTACCTCATAGGGTTGTTTACAAGATCAAATTGTAGTTAAAGTCCTCAGCACAGAATAACTGGCTGTCTTCTGACTTCGTTCCTTGCGATCATGCCTGAGTCTTGGGGGAGCGGAGACTATAAGTGAAAACTACCAGAGCTGTGTCACAAAAATATCCAAGAGACGATAAAAGACCAAATCAACACCAGGTTGACCCCTGGCCAATAGGTTCAGGAAAGTAATCATGATGATGGTGATGACAAAGGTAAAGTTGGTGAGGAAAGAAGTTTGTAAGCTGTTTTCAATGATTCAAAAAGCCCAATGTCAACGATTATATTATTAACCTCTAAAAGCCTGCACAGGTTAACTAAGGTAGCAGATTTCTTTGCTTTTAGGTGGATTTACATCACCTGGGTAATGGTGATGTCATGAAAGAAATTCAGAGAGGCAAGTAGATATCATTGATACATATTTTACTGGTAAAAATTGGGAAAACAGATCTGGTCAGTTTTTCTCAGTGGTTAGAGTGTTGGACTGTGGATCAGGGTTTCGGGTTTGATTCCCAATCATGGACATGTGCCTCGGTTGCAGGTTTGATCCCGGGCCTGATCAGAGCATGTGTAGGAGGCAACCAGTCAATGTCTCTCTCTCTCTCTCTCTCTTTTTCTCTCTCTCCTTCCTCTCTCTCTTCCATTCTCTCTCTCTCTGAAGATCAATGGAAAAAATATCCTTGGGTGAGGATTTAAAAAAAAAAGTTAGAAAACAGATTACTATTATTTAATAAATAAAGTTTGCTTGATAGACCAGTTCTTTCAAAAAATGGGGCCCAGGAGGAGAAAAATAGTATGAAATGTGTTCTTATTGATAGAAAGGTTGGGAAGGGAGGAACTGGCTTTGTCTGTTCCTTCTCCACTGATATTTATAATCCTAAGGGTCAAAACTAGAAGAATGAATGTTAGAATTTCAGGTACCTCATGGTAGATAGAGAAGACATTTGGTGACAGATTATGGCAGCTTCTTTTGAATTTCATGTCCAAGTCAGGCTCTATTCTAACTTCTAATTGTAAATAGTAGATATCATTTTTAATACAGGCTTCATTTTTTCAAAACTGTCAGGTAAAATGCAATGCAATGACCATTTATGATATTGTTGTGCTCTGTTAAAGCTAGTTAACATTCCTTTCTGTGCAAATGTACAAGGTCACTGTGCTTTATAAGGGTGGGGAATCTTTTTACTGATGACCTGTAATTCTCCAGGATGGTTACATGTCCCAGGACAAAGCTGATTCATAATCTACTAGGTGGGGCAAAGGTATTATGTCTTCAGCATTTCTTGCCAACTCCTTTCAGCATTTAACTAAACGATGTGGAAATCTTTTGAGAATTTTCAAGGTAACATGAAAATTAATCCTAATCCTCCCCCTAATCCAATCTTTTCCTTTTCCAAAGGCCCAAGAAAGGACAAAGGACGTGCTCCACGTAACACAGTTAAGACTAGAACTCAGGTCTCCTGATTCCAAGTCCAATTAGATGCATAAGTGTTCTGTTTCCTCTTCCACTTTAAAAGATCCCAACCCACCATTGCCTGAATCTGTTTTGTTTTTCTTTATCGTCTCTAGCCTTCTACTTAATTACCTACACATTCAGATTTTCACAATCCTCCTACCTTGTCCTTACAGCATTTTAACGGGGCTTTCCAAGTTCTAGTTTGAGAAATCCTGAATGAGAGGCAGGGTCTGAAGGCTTCCCCACTCTCCATTCCACGCTGAAGTTTCAAAGGACGCAAAGAGAAGCTTACCAGGAGGATATATGTCTGTTCCTCTTAGAAACAAGTCCGTTGAGGTTCCATCTATTCTGCTTATTTCTTCTTTTTGCTTCTACGTCAATAGGGGCTTTGAACATCTGTCAGATAGCAGCTTTTCACCCCGACCTCCTCCTCTCTCTCTGACACATTTAGCTACTGCAATATTAGACAAAAAAAAAAAATGTTTTTTTCTAAGATACAGGGTGGGGGATGGGGAGCAAAGCAGAGACATCCAAGGTGGTTCTGGCCAGGGCCGCCTCTCCCCCTAACCCACCCCAGTTGTGTGGCAAAGCGAAGCAGAGACTCTTATGGGGGGAAAATGAAGACAGGATGGAAGCAGAGAAAGCGATAACTTACAAAAGAGCTACAATTTAAAACTGAGGTATGTGAGAAAAGCACAGGCCCACTCATACATGATGTAGCTAGAACTATGCAGAGGATGTTGCAAAAAGAAGCAAACGGTACTTGTAAACAAACATGCTGGCCAGCCCCCGTCCCCTACTGTTCTCATCGTCATCACTGTATATAGTTCAAAAGGTTTGGGCCTGTGTCAATCATGAAGAGAGAGAAAAATGTGCTGAGCTTTTCATAATTTCTTCCATTTAAAAGAGTATTTTATATTCTGATTTTATATCCTTCCCTTTTCAGCCCCAAAACATTTCTTTTATATAACGACAGTGAAAGCAGATGATAATCGGTATTTTTTACAGGCTTCCTTGGCAACTTAAAACAACGGATCACTCTAAGTTGCCCCACAATTATTTTGGGCGGTGGTGTACTGATTTGTAAAACCCAAACAGCTGCTACTCTCCTCTCTAGGAAAATATACTCTAAATGGTACATAGTTACCTTCCTTTTCAGAACAAATTTCAATGAACACGCCCTTCAAGGGGAAGACTTAACAAAAATCTTACTTTTCCTTCTGAACAGCTTTCTCCATAAAAATGTTCCGCAAGTAGATCAAATTAGTCATAAAAACTACTGTTAAGTGCTTAATGAAACACGTCTTCATAACCTCTGACAATTTGACAGGAGTGAATTTAATAATAGCAATAAATACAGACGGGGCTACATAAATCAAGGCGATCCAGATGCACAATTCTTGCGGTATGAGATGGCACCTCAGCTTTCTCATCTGAAATGAGCCAAGAAATTAATTTTAATGACGACCATAACAATAAAAAAATCAAAATTAAATTCATACTCTTGGAAAGAATGCCCACTGCCCACTTTACATATCTGGAACCAACAGATCAAAGGAAGTTCCAAAGAGAAGGCAGGATTTAGGATGAGGAATGTGGCTCCTGACTGCTGTGAGGAGAACACACCAGGTGGCTTCCCCTAGGGTAGGCCCTCTCACTCATTTACATTGCAGGGCAATAAAAATGCAGTTGCACAAGCATTAGCGCAAAGTTGTTTAAAGAGAGAGTAGGCTTAAGACCAAAGATACTCTCAGTTCCAGGCAACCTCCCAAACGGCCTCGCCCGTCTTCCTCTAAAGAGGAGGCAGATTCTCCTCCACCCTCTGTTCTCCTCTGAACCCCTTCACCTTCCAGCACCTCCCATCTCAGGAGGAGTTTGCCCGGGATGGGCTTTGTGATGCACAACACCGCTTACAGCCGCTTATGGCAGACCCAGCCCACAGTACTTACAGAGCTGTTTCTCTTTGAGGATCTTCACCCTTTATGCAGCACTAAAGGCAAACACAACAGGGGCAATGAGTTTTCTGGCTTTTTAAAGGCCCATTAATCAATATTTTGAATGCATCAAGCTGGCTCAAGGGACAGGAAACCCGAATGTGTCTGATAATCTCCTACCTAAAAAATACACACCAGTACAGACATGCCTAGAATATACAGCCACCCCTGCACTGGTCCAGGTCTTATTTCTCTGGCTACATTGATTACTTTTATTACATCTAGAGAAGATGAACTTCTTAATTCAAAATGTTTCCAGGATTTGTACGTAATTGAGTATTTTTTGTAGGAAAAATTTGCTCTGGATTGGGGAGCAGGGGTTCGGTGAATTTCTACTTGGGAGACATTGTTGCCCCGAATAAAAGCCAGTTACCATATGTTTCAAGAAGAATGGCTTTTGCTGGATAATGAACTCGGCCTAGGCCACGCTCGCCTTTCTTCAGAGGCTTTCTGCCATATTTGCCTCCCTTGGGCACTGGGTTAACTGGTGGAGTCAAATGCCTGGCCCTCACCCATGCACCCACATACTCTGCATCATGCTAACCAACAAGGTTAACCATTCAACAATTCAAACTCCAGCCCACCACAGCTGGGGCACGTGGCCTAACTCAAAAGGTGAGCAGCAAGTGTCACCCGTTTCATGCAGATCCCTGACACTTGAGCAGATGCTTCTCTCTACATTTATTTATTGTACCAGAGGTGCCATCGCCACAATAAAAGGAAATTTAAGAGGAAGAAAAATCAGCCCTAATTCCTCTACCCTGAACACCATAGCCATTTTCATTCAGGTCTTGTCCATATGCACTTCTATACTTTGTAAATCTGTACTCTACCAGAGGTGCCATCGCCACAATAAAAGGAAATTTAAAAGGAAGAAAAATCAAAAGCCAGTGATCGTAACGCCATAAAGCCGTAATGACCAAATGACCGGTCACCAGGAGGTGCATTGATGGGTCTTGTGGCACGGCGAGTCTGGGTCTCACGTGATTTCACGCGCTGACCTTCTAGTAGTTTATGAAAGATGTTTATTCCCTTAAGCAACTTCCATTTTAGATTATATGGTGGAGAGACCAGATTGTCCAAGTATGGTTCCTAACTCTAGTCACTTATACAGCTGGTTCTTGGCTTTTATTTAGATGATGTTTTACCTAAATAGCCTAGAATACTTAGATACCTTCATTATCCTTTGTCTTCTAGCAATCAGTCCGAAGCACAACGTCAAAAAGACCACAACCATTGCAGCAATAATGGGTTCTATTGGTACACTCGAACCTCTATCTGTTGGAAATGCAAACACAGAGAACGAGAACTAACATTTACATGCTTCTAACTTATGTACTTCTAATATGTGCCAGCCATGATGCTTTGCGCTTTAACGAATACCATCCTCTTACTTAAATCCTCCCAACAATCCCTAAAAGTAGGTATTTTATCCCCATTTTACAGGCGAGGAACCGGGGGCTTCGAGAGGTTAGTTTACATGTCCCAAATCACAGACGTAGTAATGGCATTTTCCTCCCATGTTCATAGGGTAAAACAATTCCAACACGTGGGCTAACACCCTGTGCTCAAGAAAAAAGATCCGTGATGTCATTTGCAGCTTTGCATGGCCTCATTGAAACTACCCCACTGAGCCCTGCAGCTGAGAGAGGCTCATGGCAAACTTGGCGTATAGCCTGACCACCGGCAGCAGAGTGCTTACGCTGCCAAGGCAGCCAACAACCAGGGAAGTCGTAAAGCAGGAAGAAATAAGAAAAACAAGTTGGTTTGGAAGAGCTCCACCTCAAACAAATCCTGCCCACCTGAAAGCCAGGTTGTCAAACTGGCATCCTGCTTGTCACACAAGTTGTATATCTTTTATGTGACATGGAACAATTATGATTCCTTCCTAACCGAGAGGGACATATAACCCCCCAGTGTCTGCCTGTGGGCCTGACAGCCAGTCGGAATGGTATGGCCTGAGGCTCCCACCAACCATGCTTTTGTGTGTGGGGGGGAGGGTGGGGGGCAGTGAATAGCCACAGACTTCAATCTGGTGCCCCTTCCACTGATTCTTAGCTTCTTTGTGGGGTTGGTTTTTAAAGCAAGTAGCCCCTGGGCTTACTGTCACTGTTCTGCATGACAAATGACTGAACTGGGCCAGCAACCACAGTGATTGGCCGCAGCAGCTCTTCCTCCCCACCAGCCTTTCCGTTGGTGCCCTAGACCCACCACGGGGAGGAAATAAGAAGACCTATGCTCCCATCAGTCCTACACTCCTGGCCGGGGTTCAGTTGGCTTCCTGGGAACTGGCAAGGAAGGCAATGAGTGGGCGAATGGCAAAGTGAATAAATAATGTTCTAACAAGATATACGCGCCTCGGCTTGTTTGGCTGCTTCTAGCTTCCTGGCCCCAGACCAGGAAATGTGCGCATGAGCATTTTCGGCATCTGCTACACCAGGATCTCGCTTTTCTCTTTTTGTATGAACAAGAAATATGAGGAGGGTCAATTAGTTGGAGCTTCATTTATCCCTATATTGCAGAGGTGATAAACCTGGGTAAATGAAGCAGGAAACCAAGAAGGAACTCACCCCCACCCCTAGAGCCCCCTACTCCCTCTTCTGATTAGCCTACATGTTACATTTTCAGAGTTAGGAGTGGTTTTAGAGATCCGTTTTCTTATCAAGTCAGCATCTTTCTTCACTATGTGTTTCTGACTTCTGTTTGTCACTAGGCTGTGAACTCAAAAGTCCAGATTTTACAAACCTTGTTGCCCAGGAGAGTTCATGGAAATACTCCCCCCTAAAAGCCTACCAGAATCATCTTCCCCCAGATAGTTCTAGAAAAGGACCTTTGCTCAAAAAGCAGTGTCCTTTAAGGAATGGGCATCATTTCCCTAAAAGGAAGGATGAGAGTTCTTCGTGGGAAACTCCTTGAATGGGATAATTCACCAAAGAAAATCCTCGCTGCTAATCATAATTGTCATCATCATTTGTTGTCATGAAAAATACATTTTAAAATATATTTTTATTGATTTCAGAGAGGAAGAGAGAAGGAAAGAGAGATAGAAACATCAATGATGAGAGAGAATCATTGATCGGCTGCCTCTTGTATGCCCCACACTGGGGATTGAGCCTGCAACCCGGGCATGTGCCCTTGACCGGGAATCAAACTGTGACCTCCTGGTTCATAGGTTGACGCTCAACCACTGAACCACGCCAGCTGGGCATGAAAAATATTTACTGAGCATCTATTCTGTACTCTGTGCATCTATTATGCACTCTGCTGTATATTATTTAAAAAGAGAGTTACCTTTGACAAAGAGGTGAAAGTCCTTTGTCTTTGTTTCCAGAGGTGAATATGCAAAACAGCTGTAGGTTCCATTGTCAGATTTCTTGACTTTGGTGATTGACAGCTGAAGAGACTCACTTGTCTGTTGGACTTGGTGATGGTTTTTCTCTAAGGTCAGGATGCTGCTGTTTCTGTACCACATCATTTGAGCCTGGGGGTTGGATTTCACATTGCAAACCAGCTTCACAGCACTGCCTTCCTCAACTGTTTGGTAGTCGTTTCCACTGAGGAGCGGAGGAACTGCAAGACACAAGCATTGAGGTTTAATTAGCAGATAAACCATAGTTTACTGTCAGTGTTCAAGATCTTCAGTCTGTCTCATCTAGTCATTCATTCATTTGACAAAAATTTACTGAGTGACTACTGTATGCCAAGCACTGGGCTAGGAACCACGGGTACAATGGTAAATTACATGCATCCATTTCCAAACTTAATAGAACTTTTAATGTGATGGAGAAGACAAACCAGGAAGCAAATATCCTATATAATCAAAGGCTAACCTGGGAGTTCCACTGGGAATTTGGTCAGGGGGCAGGGCTGGCTGGCCAACTGCCTCCGGCCCCTTCCCCCATAGGTAACCCCACCCCGATCAGGGTGGGCTGGCCAGACCCCACCTGTGCACGAATTCATGCACTGGGCCTCGAGTATATAATAATGAATCTGTACCAATTTGTAACACTAACCAATCTGTGCTAGTGGTGGATAAAACAGTATAATGTTAAGAAAGCAGGCATTGCAGTGGGCTCTCATTCCAACTACATCACTTACTGTGACCTTGGGAAAGTTACTTAACTGCTAAGTAACCGCTCAGTTTCCTTATCTAAAAAATGGGATCATAGCTACCTTATGCATTGCTGTGGAAGATTAAGTGAGATAATGCCTGTAAAGAATTTATCACCGTGCTGGTTAGCACTATCATTACTGGATGGTGGTTTTGAGCACTCCTCACAACCTCCACTTTCACATTTGCTCTAACCACACATTTACCAATGCGTGTTTGCATTTCCTCAACAGTCCTCTAGAAATGACGTCCTCCTCCCAGAGCTGTTCCAGTCCTGGCAACTCCGGCGTCTATGGACAATGAGCGTGGCTTCCTAACTCCCTTTCATTCCTCCGTGCGAGCAACTCCTTACTTCCTCCATGAGGAGGGCAGTTACAGACCCATCGATAGCCGGACACATTTATCGTCACCAAATAATCCGACCCTCCTCCCCACCAGGCCTTTCCAACTTTTAGGAGGAGAAATGGCTGGACTGACTCTCCCCTCTTCACGCCCTTTGCAGTTTCTGGCCAGGGTGCAAAAGAGTAATAAAATGCCTGAGAAGTGGGCTGTAGGAAAGACGTCAAGGCGGAGAAGGAGGGAGGAAGGAGCTTGTATAATCTGCACACTGAATAATTAGACCCGGAGAAGGCTGTGCTATTAATAACTCTCAGAAGAATGACATTTTGCTGCTCTTTGGAATGAGCTTGAAGTCTGTATCCATATCCAACAAGGATGTTCGATGGCATTCAGATATGTAGGAAGCTGCTTGAATA